ATATATATTTTTTTTAGCTTTTTTTTAATTTTTTTTAAGAATCCTATAAAGGTTTTGATACAAATTTATTAACAGAGGTTAGCTATTGCTTATTTAATTATTTGTCTATATTTTTTATTCGCTAATTCGTTTGGTTTTTTTTATGCAGAAAATTAAATGATATATGAAAAGGTATATGCATATATATGTGTGGACTCTTGATAAAAAATTCCGAGCCGAGTAACTCTAGCTATTTTGATCTATCCGTCTGACCATCTCTTCATCCGTATGAATACAGTGATCTCTTATACAACAAAAGCTAGAGAACTGAAATGTGAAATATACATATACATATGTACATATGTATATGTAAAATGAACAGTACGAATTTCAAATTAGATTACTTCCTTATCATCGATACAACTCGATAAGGCAATTCTCCAAGCTACGCATAAAGGAATCTAACCACAAATTGAATCTAACCAATTTTTTGGAGTTGTTGCTAAATATCATATATTTAGTTATATTTTTTATATTTGATATCTAGCTCCATATCAACTCAAAAATACGTTGGCAAATATATCATATTCTGCATCAGAAAACCAGATAGAATAAAACTGTGGAAGCTATAACTGAAATCTATAAGTCATGCCGCAAGCAGCCAAGAGTCAGATTAAACATGTTTACACATTTTTATGAGACTAAGAAAACAAATTGAAATCTGAGTTATATTTTAATCTTCTTACTAAGGCTGGAATGGTTTTACCAGCCAGTAATTCTGAATTAAGTTCGTAATATTATCAAACCATCTACTTCCGCCAAGACGACTGATAAGAAGTTGCTTACGTTTGGTGCAAGATAAACATTTTTCTAGTTAATTTACAACTACAAATAAAAATGCACTAGTATATATAAATACATATATATAGTAGTATTGGGTCAAAAACTTTTGCGTGTTTTATTAGATTTGTTTTATGAGCCACTCAAGTACTATTTAAAGGAGATAGCATAATCGAATGGGAATTTAATTGCTAATCAATGTGAATTTTTTTTATCAATTTTAGGTGAGCGCGTATGTAACTGAGTATGGGCATAATTTCATTTGAAAAGTTGAATAATACTCTTCAATTGATTTTTGCTGCTTTCTGCATCCAGGGACAAAGTCCAATATGTTGTATAGTGGGGATGTCATGCTACCCAATACCCTGTTTTCAATAGAACTAGGGGAATATCAAACATATCCACACAGTATAGTCTTAGCTCGAGCTCAGGTGTTCTGGCCAGCTCACAATGTTGCCGACTGTTCGTTTACGGCTTATGCAAGTGACTCAGCAGCTTAGTGCAACACAGCGACAGAGTTGCAGCAGCATGTTGCTGTTGGCTGGCTGCAGCTAGAGGGAGCCTAACTGCACTTTGCGGCCATTAGTTGAGCTGCAAACCTGTTGATTTTGTTGACAATGCTAACGGATGTTGGCTCAGCTGCACGTGAGAGTCATTTGTCCTTTTGGCCAGTCACTTGGCATTTCCAGCAGAGAGAGCGGGCGAGAGAGAGCAAGAGAGTGAGTGAGACAGAGTGCACACACAATATGCAAACGTGAGAAAATGTGCGAAAGTACCCAGTAGGGTATAGTAGCTTTCGGCTGGGAATGTAATGCGTGTAAGGGGCAACACGTAGACAAGGGCCAATCACTGTTCATTGCGAAATGATGTAATTGGCCGGGCTCTTGGGAAAGTGGATCAATGGCACAGCAAACATTCGCATACATACATAACCCACTCATAATCGTCAATTCGTTGTTCCCTTTGTATGCATTGCAGCTCACAGACGAAGTTGTGCGCAAGAAGAGCGAATACCAAAAACATTTGGAGGGCTACAAGGCGCTACGCACGCGCTTTGAAGAGCACTACATAAAAGGTGAGTGACACCCAATGGCTGGCTGAACTATCTCTATTCTCTCCCTATTCGTCCTTCCCTTCCGTGCAGCACCGGGTCGAAGTGGTCGCAAACTGGACGATGTGCGGGACAAATATCAAAAGGCCTGCCGTAAACTCCATCTTACCCACAACGAATACGTGCTCTCCATCACTGAGGCCGTCGAGGTTGAGAAAGACTTCCGCACTGTGCTGCTGCCTGGTCTGCTCGAGCATCAACAGTCTGTGCAGGAGAGCTTCATACTCCTCTGGCGCAACATTCTCTTGGAAGCGGTTCAGTACAGCGATTTGACAGCCGACAAATTCAAAGAGATACAGAAACGCATCGACACTGTGATAAGCGGCATAAATCCAACGGAAGAGTATTCAGAGTTTACAGAGAAACACAAGTAAGTATCGAGTCTGCTCGAATCCGTTATACACATTAGATAAAAGACAGAAATTTTTTTATTTTTTTTACAATTGGAGCTCATTGTAATGATAAGTCATCTAGTTCCCAAAAAATATAAGCCTTAGTAGGCTTGTGGATTTTTCTCTTATTTTGCCTATTAACAGAAGGAATAAAGTTTAATGTCACAAATTTAAAAATGTTAATTCTAATAATACTTGAACTGACAACGTTACGATTTTGAAGAGGTTGTAAAATGAAATTAATGGGAATATTATATTTGTGTGAAAAAAAAAATACTATGAATAATCAAGGAGACAAAAATGACGAAATTCTATAAATTCCTGTGAATTGCCGACTTAATAGGGGACAAATTATCTTGTAATGTTATTAAAAGTCCATTTTATATCATATCTAATACCATAACATTTACAAGATTAACATTGTTAATTAACGAGAACAACTCGAGTCATGTGTAACTAAATCAATCAAATACAAATATTATTATATTATAAGAAATATCGAGATAATTTGTTAAATAAATGTTTTTTAATATTTGCAGAACTTCGCCCACAACGCCGCTGCTCTTTCAATTCGATGAGACACTCATCGAGGACATACCGGGCAAGCTGACTGCGAGCACCCTGACCGTTGACAACCTGACCGTGGATTGGCTGCGCACGCGGCAGCTGGAGCTGGAGGCGGCCGTTAAGGATTGCCAGGAGAGACAACTGAAGATAATTGAGCATGTGAATGGGGGTTCGCCTGTGGCCAATGGCAGCATCATCTCCAATGGCAGCAGTGCATCTAACGGCATACAATCCAACAAAGATAGTCAAATGTGAGTAGATACCAATCGAATGTCAATCGATATGACAATCATTATCATTATTCTATATTCGCAGTCGACAGTCGAAGGACCTCAATGCGCTGCGCTGCCAAGAGAAGCAAAAGCAGAAGCTCGTCGACATGATCAAGTGTGCGCTGAACGAGGTGGGCTGCGAGGAGCTGCCCTCCGGCTGCGACGATCATCTGTCGCTGGAACAGAACTTCATCGAGCACGGCTTTAACAACGAGCAGCAGGTAGGTGTTATTGCTTGATCGAATTACGACTTGAATATGGGCGTTGGTTAGCTGTAAGCGTAGCGGTTTGGGTCAGCATCAATGATCAACTAATCGTATGATATATTCAACTATTTCTACTCTCTTGGATGCCGCCTTCTGCCCCATACACACATACACACCTACACACCAACACACACACACACACATATATATCCACAAACCATTTCTGTAACCCATTCTAATTGAACATGCGTCGCTGCAATAGCGCTCCAACTCCACTAGCTCTCCAGGTCTGGGTATTATGAATGAGCTGATGCGCCGTGGTGGCGTTCTGACGCTCCTGCGTGGCTGCGGCCGTCACTTCAAGCGCAAGTCAACGCCGCAGCCAACCACGCCCATGGCCAGAGCGCGTCCAGGTAGATTCTCGAAGATGCAGCCTCGCTCGCAGAGCCTGGGATCGCTGTCGGTAATTACGGATACGCGTAGTCCTGCACGTTACGAGCCAGTTACTAACCCAATGCGTCTGGCGGCCAGCGTCCACTATCTCGGCGAGGAGATTGTGCTGAGCGCTCAGCCGCCGGCGTTGCCTCGTTTGCGGCGCACGCAGTGTTCGATGTTGTGTTTGGGCGAGGATGACCCATCAGTTGATCCTTTGCAGTTGCCGTTACCGCTCCCTGTGGCCTTGCCCGTGCCCCCATCCTCGCCCCTAACCGCCACTGCCAATACTAATACTAACAACAATCACATCTATGCGGATCTGGAGCTGACCAACAAGCCCTCCGCTGCTGAGGAAGAAACAGATGCGAACACGGATGCGGATGCGGATGCGAATGCGGATGCGAATGCGGATGTTGACAGCATTGCCAGTGAAAATGAATTGCAAGTCAGCTGCCATCAGATTCAGATTGAAATCAATCGCGTCGAGTCGGACGATTCGCAGGCAGTGCCCCAAAGCTCCATCGATGCACATCTAGACCGAATCGATGAACTGAATCGTGTGCTCGATGATCGGCTAAAGCGCAGCTTACAGCCTATGAGCCCTACGGATGTGAATGCCATCGAAAGCGCCGATGATGTGAATGTACAAAGGCGCCAGGCAGAACTAGATGCCGATAGCCAGGCCAAGCGCTGTTCCAGCTCAAGCTCCGAGTGCCGCTCCTCGCTGCAGGGCGCCAAAGATGCCGCCCAACAAAAGAAGCGATCACTGTCCTTTACGCAAAAGTCGATCAGTAACATAATCAGCAATATCAGGGAGTTCTCCAAGAGCCCCTTGGCACGCATGGGCAAAAGTGCGACGCTCAGCGAGGAGCCGGACCCAATTAAGCTGGCCAGCGAGCCGAGCCAACTCTCCAACAGCAGTGAATCGCACACGCAACACAGTAACAGTAACAGTAACAGCAACAGTAACAGTAACAGTAACAGTAACAGTAACAGTAACAGTAACAGTAACAGCAATAGCAACAGTGTTCACAGCTACAATAACAACAACAACAATGCCCATCCGTGCCCGCCAACAAGTATCGCCAGCTCCATGGCGACGACATTGACAACGACAAGCACATCCACATCCACATCGACAACGATGCCGTCCAAGGAAACCTCAAGACTGAAATTTAAAGTGCCAAAGATACAAAAGAAATCGAAAGCCATCCGCAATACATTCCGTACCAAGTTGCTCAGCTTCCAGCTGAGCCGGTCCAAGCCGTGCAAGCAGTGCACCAAACGACGTCGGATTCATCCCAGCAAGAGTGTGTTGGACTTTGCCAAGGAGTTCGAGACAAATCCCCAAGAGCAGGCCGAGCAGGAGCAGTTCTGTAGTTGCCCAAAGGCGAAACCAAAGCCGCTGCGAATGTCCTGCCCAAAGGATCGCTCCTTCGAGATACACAGTTCCGAGGAGCTGAACGACGTGGATGACGACGGCAACGAGGACAGCAGCAGCGACGATGTGCTCAGCCTTAAGGAGCACTGCTACTGTGTGCCCAGCTTGGCAGCGAGTGTGAGTAGCAGCGAGCCCCGATCGAGATCAGCATCGAGGCCGAGCCGTCTGCAGCATCCACAACAGTATCTAAATCCAAATACGCACTGCCAGCAGAGGAGCTCATTGCACATTGCTTGCCGCATTCCCGTAGTCGTACTCCGTCGTTTGCATGTTCTTTCAGTTTGCATGTTTCAGCTTTTCTCTGCAACTTTCTGCTTTCAATGTTGAACGTAGAGCGTAGACAGAGCCTAACCCAACAAGCAAAAATACCAAAAATAAAATTCAATTCCAACTCTGAGCATATCATACATTCCTGGGTCGCTTATGAGATACAGATATTGCCTGAATATCAGACGATGAATTCTTGGATTACAATCTATCTATGGGGATCATAAGACACAGAGATTGTCCGGATATGTGATAATCTGTTGATGATACATCTTCTGCCCGTAAATATTTCCTAAGGCATTTATATGAGGAAAACTTATGCTTCGCAACACGATCTAGATCAATAATATTTTAAAATATTTTTATTTATATCTCTTTTGTAATTACCCAATCAATTTAACTTTTGTATATATTTAGATTAGTTTAAATCTATTTTACTGCAGTCCATTCTAACTTTTCATACAGCCCTCGGCTATTATGCTAAATTTACTTGTGCGTGTCAAGAGACACAGAATGAGAGAGACAGAGAGAGAGAGAGAGAAAGGTGCAAGTTGAATCTCTAAGATTATGGATCCTATCCAAATATTTCATTCAGTTTGCTCAGATCTGGCGTGCAGCTAAGACGTCTACTGCCACCAGATATTTTATCTATTGGGTATAGCGCTAAGAAATACACACACACTCACTCACATAGACAGATAGAAATGTTTGGCGTCTGTTTGGCCAGTGAAAAATTGGAAATAATTTTCCGCAATTATAAATAGAGTGTGCGCCGCGTGTTTCTCCTTGACATAAAGAGCATTGCGCAAGTAGCTGAGCTTGGGCCTGCGGTATGAGTAGCACCACTTCCGGCGAAAGCCACAGCTGCAGTGGCTATGGCAGTGGCAATGGTGCCACAGACAGTGGCATCTTTGAGTCGATTGTCTTTGCCGGTCGCCCGGTGCCGCCGGTGCGCAGGAAGCGGCCCAAATCGAAAATATTTGTGAGTCAATCGAAAGACCTTGAATGCAATCGTCTCATCCCATTATAGACGTAGTAATAACCAATTTTTTGTTTTTATTGCATCCACGTATACTGAATCTAATTTATTTTGCTGCATATATATATTTATTTTATTTTGAGTAATGCTTTAAGGCATTTAATGCCATTTCACTTTCGTCAGACGTATTTGCACCCACACACTTCCGTTTGGGCAGTGAATGGGAATGGAAAACGAAATGGAAATGGCAATGGCAATGGAAATGGCGTGTTAAATATTTAATTTGTGCTTTGCATGTTGAACTAATCCGAAAATAATAATGGAAAATGAGGCTAAATGGGGCATTTGACTAATTATCCATATTGATACTGCTTGCAGCTCTCGCTATCCACGAATCGTCCCCTGTACGAGGAGGAGTGGTTCCATGGCGTCCTGCCCCGCGAAGAGGTCGTCCGCCTGCTGAACAACGATGGCGACTTCCTCGTGCGCGAAACGATTCGCAACGAAGAGAGCCAAATTGTATTGAGCGTCTGCTGGAACGGACATAAGCATTTCATCGTGCAGACGACTGGAGACGGTCACTTCCGGTTCGAGGGCCCGCCCTTCCCCAGCATACAAGAGCTCATCATGCATCAGTATCACTCAGAGCTGCCGGTGACCGTCAAATCAGGCGCGATCCTGCGCCGACCCGTCTGCCGAGAGCGTTGGGAGCTCAGCAACGACGATGTCGTGCTCCTGGAAAAGATCGGCAGGGTAATAAACAAACTGATCTCCGTTGGCGCCGTAGCAATTCATTGAAATGTCCTTTGTCTCCTCGCAGGGCAACTTCGGCGACGTTTATAAGGCCAAGCTCAAGTCCACAAAACAGGATGTGGCCGTTAAGACCTGCCGCATGACTTTGCCCGAAGAACAGAAACGCAAATTTTTGCAGGAGGGCCGCATCCTGAAGCAATATGATCATCCCAACATTGTCAAGCTGATTGGCATTTGCGTGCAAAAGCAGCCCATTATGATTGTCATGGAACTGGTGCCGGGTACGTAAATATAGATGATAACTAAATCTAACGTGGTCATTTAAAGTTAAATGTATTTTCCATGCTCAAAGTTATTTCATTCATAGCTGGCTTCTTTACATAATTTCTTAAAAATGTATATTATCTATCATGTTGATTACATATCGGTTTATATGGTGCACCAACTGAAAATTTGATGGTATTACATGAACTTAAAATCTAATAACCATTTAAAAAGTTGTCCGGATGTCCGAATGGCTGTACGTGTTTTTGTCCGTCCGTATGAATATAAAGTTAGGGACTTGGCATTCTGAATATATATTCGAGGATACCCTCGTCTTATAATATTTACTAAGGGTAAAATAATCAGAAAATATTATATCTCATATGTCATGATACTATTGGTATAATTTCTCATCACTTCAAGTTATGAATCCGTACCTGCTATGCAAACTTCTCTATTAATTAACCCAAATGCAAATTAATGCAATTATCAATATTTTAAGCTGAGTATTTACACTAAAGCCAAAGATTCTGTCAAAAGATAATTTTACGCTTTTCCTAGAAGACGTATTCAAATGTATTTAAATTTTAAAACTATACATAAGCATAATGGCCTCTCGAGATCTCTTCTAATTTCTAGATTCTAGACTTTAAAAATTGCACATGTTCTAATGCTACTTACTTATTATCTAATATCTTCCAGGTGGCTCCTTGCTAAACTATCTGCGTAAAAACTCAAATGCGCTCACCACACGGCAACAGATGGGCATGTGTCGAGATGCTGCTGCAGGTGAGTGGCGGAACAAGGCAGTTGCTAATTGTTCTTTGTTAATTGATAACATTTATTCTGACTCTAACATTCATTTTAGGCATGCGATATCTGGAATCTAAGAACTGTATACATCGTGATCTCGCAGCTCGAAATTGTCTTGTGGACTTTGAGCATAGCGTTAAAATATCAGATTTTGGCATGTCACGYGAAGAAGAAGAATATATAGGTATATAGGCGTACAAATGAATATATATCAAATCATACAAGCAACCTGATTTTCTATTCAAACAGTTTCCGATGGCATGAAGCAAATACCAGTTAAATGGACTGCGCCCGAAGCTCTTAATTTTGGCAAATACACAACTCTCTGCGATGTTTGGTCGTACGGCATTCTTATGTGGGAAATATTCTCCAAGGGCGATACTCCCTATTCTGGAATGAGCAATTCGCGTGCTAGAGAACGTATCGATACAGGTACGTATCGTTTAATAGAAAATTAATTTAAATATCTTGCATAGACGGTGCTCGGTAGTTAACTTGGGAAAGTGATCGGGCTTCAAACTCGAAGCAGTATGATTATTTAAGGCGAATGCTATACATTTTCAGGGATGTAATAAACACTTAGGTTAATCAGTTAATGTATTAAAATAGTATTAAAATATATTTTCAAAGTAGAAATTTCCGTTTCCATATTCTGTTAAGGACATACATACATATGTAGTGAGAGGAAAATATTGTCATTTTGAGAAAACGTTTCGATTAATTTACCATATTAGTACATTGAAAAATATATAAAGCGTTTGCATACTATATATATACACTATGAATATATTATAGATTATCTGCATTAAAACAGGATTAACAGTCTGCAGAAAATCTCCTCCAAATTCAATCCCTCGTAAGAATCCTTTAGTCTCACATTATAAAGTAAGAAAATGCAGATTTAGTAAATTCAAGTATATTCCCTATATTTACACACTTTCGCAATATAGTATATCAAATAATATAAGTAACTAATTTTTCAACGGCTAATAATCGGCTAGCTTGACAGAACTATTAAATACAAAAAAATATCTCAGGATTTTCTAAATTCAAATTTATATCAAATATGATTATGTAATGTATATGTAGCGAACAAAGCAAAAATATTTATATATTGTATTATTTTCAGGATATCGCATGCCCACGCCTGAGAATACGCCTCCCGAAATGTACCGTCTGATGCTGAAGTGCTGGGCGGCTGATGTCGATTCTCGCCCGCATTTCGATGAGATCTACAACGTTGTCGATGCGCTCATACTGCGCCTGGACAACAGTCACTGAGCACCGTAGATGGCCAAGTTCTGTGCGAAGCTGTAATTAACATAATTATTTTTAATACACACTCAACGTAGTTCTGAGTAAGCGCTTTTAAAGTATGTCATTTCCTAGGACTACACAACGAAATGCCTGTATTTATAAAATACTATATACACATATACATTATAAGAAAAATGCCTATATTTAAATTTTAGCATATTGACGATATTAATATATAAAAAAAATATGCAGATACATATTTATATACATATAATATAGTCTTATATATTTTAATATATGTATGTGTAATCAGCTGAGTGCCTGCTGTGTGTGTGTGTGTAAGAGTGTATGTGTGTGAGTGTGTGCGAGATCCTGTACGATTTGTCATTACGAATCCTTATTGTGCCAAAAACAGCAAAATTAATGAAAAGAAGCCAGAGAAATTTTGAAAACGCAGCGTGTGCTTGATGAACGCCTAACCTTAAGTTCTTGAATTTATGTTTTCTATGTTAGTTTTCTTAGGATTTAAGAAGAATAGATAACACACACATTGTAAATGATAGAGTCCTGCTGACTTGATATTGAATTGTATATTTATTTAATGCTATTTACATTTCTACTACGATTACAATTCTATTAACATACATTCAAGCTCTAAATTAAGCTCAAATTTTTGCAGTGTTGCAAATTTTGTGCAATAAAATTGAAAATAAATCAAAAATAGTGCATACACAAATATATAAAAAAAAACACACAAAACCATAAATTATATGTTTATAAAGTCTTATCATTAATTGCCAGTGGAACATCGGAGAACTCGACCTTCGTATAGTATTTCTTCAGCTCGTTCTTCAGCTCTAGACTGTGCTCCCAGTCTCTCGTCTCGCAGATCACTTTCACCTCCACCGTGTAAATGTCGCGCAGCCACGCCCGCTCGTGCATAATGTCCTTGATGGAGACACCCAAGCGCACTAGCCGAGAGCATAGATCGTTTATGCCACCCGGACGATCACTGACCTCCACATTAAACTTGACCAAGCGACCCTCGGCTGCCAGTCCGCGCTCCAGACAACGTCCAAAGACCGTTGTGTCTATGTTGCCACCGCAGAGCAGCACGACAACCCTGCGAATAAAAACAGTTATTGAGAAAGAGTATGAGGTAGACCAGACGAGGCTCACTTCTTGCCCTTGAGGTCGTCCAAGTGGCCAGCCAGTATGGCAGCCAGTCCAGCACCGCCAGCCCCTTCGACCACACACTTCTCCTCCTCCACCAAGCGCAAGATGGCCACGGCTATCCACTCCTCCTTCACCACAACCATACGGTCGATCAGGGGCAGAGCTGTCGCATATGCATTAACTCCGACCTTGGGCACCGCCAAGCCATCGGCTAGGGTGTTCTTGATGGGCGTGCTTATAGGACCATTGTTTTCCATAGCACGTGAAAAGCTGGCACACTTTTCCGACTCTACGCCCTAGAATTATGAATCGTTGATTGTCTAAATTCCAGAGAACTCAACTCCTTGAAAGCTTACGATTATTTTGGTCTTGGGCGAGAGCGCCTTCACAGCTGTGGCAATACCGGCGATGAGTCCTCCGCCGCCAACGGGCACGACAACTGCATCCGGCTCAGGCACCTGCTCCAGTATCTCCAGCCCGATTGTACCCTGGCCGGCCATAATGTGCGGATGATCGTAGCCATTAATATACAGCAGCTGCTCCTCCCGCGACATGCGCATAGCCAGCGACTTGGCCTCGCCCATATCCTGGCCCTCGACGATCACGCGAGCCTTGTAGTTGCGACACTTCTGCACCTTCATAATGGGCGCGGCCTTTGGCATCACCACAGTAACAGGAATCGACAATTTCCAGCCATGGTAGCACAGAGCCAGGGCGTGATTCCCCAACGAAGCGCTGATCACGCCCTTGCGTTTCTGTTCCTCCGACAGGCTGAGCAGCGCATACCTAGCACCCCGTTCCTTAAAGCTGTAAACAGAATCATTTTGTGCTTTGATATGACTGTCACAATATTTAGAAGTCAGTGGAGGTGACCGCTGCCGGTGATAATGTCGTATCAAGTGGAAGAACTATAATTGCTAATCAACCTATTAATTTGTCACTTCCTATGCTGTCAATGTTATCAGGCGGTAATTGAATTTTGGCAAAATACGTGTCGAAATTAATCTAACGACACTCTTAGATTAAATAAAGAGGCATGTACATAATTTGCGTAGTCCCAATTGAAAGTGATTGCAAGTGATAAAGGTGCCAGGAGAAATTATATTGCGAGAAAAGGAATCTGTAGAAATACATATAGTCCTTCGTTATGTTCAAATATAAAAGGAAAAAGTGGGAACTTGAAACTTGTAATATTTATTCTTTGACAGTCGCAGTAAAATATACTACACCATTTCGTTTATTTCCAACACAAATTTGTAATATAATCTCCTACGAAAGGTGAGAATCTATAATCATATATAGACTTGTTATAAAATTTAATTATATTATTAATCGATGATTAATTTCGATGTTTCTGAGAATATTACTGGGAATATTAGTACTATTAAAAGGCATCATATTCGTTTTACGTCTTATCGCTAGACGGAAAATATTATGCCAGACAATAAACATTTATACATATACGTATGTTCATACTACATTCAGTTATATTGAGAAGAAAATTGCATTCGAGTACTTTGGACCTGAATTGAGTATATTTACACAATATATAGAAGTGAGTCGGTAAAATTAATGCGAAACAAAATACAAAAAGACCTAGCCTAGATGATATAGTCCTATCCACTTATTTCCGATATATTATAAAATCAAGGTATTCCCAAGCCTGTTACTAAAGACACCCGGCCCTTGAATCCGAAGGACTAATTAATTTTAAATAAAAGTATCCAACTACCACCCAGTAATAATTTCTCTATTTTCAAGTCTATGCATAACGATCACTCACCTGCCTGTGTATTGTAGAAAGTCCTTTTTGAAATACAATTCCATCCCATATGTCTCTGACGATGTGGATCTCTGCAAATGGCTTGTGAGCTTAGACTGCATCTCTATCATCGGATTCAAACACTTACGGGACAGGGTGTGCGCTCCACACCACCCTTAATCAAGAAGGCAGCTGATGTAACATCGTGAAATGAAATTTGTTTCGGATTCTTGGAATCACAGAAAGGATCGACAATTTCCTCAACTCCGCCCGATACGTGCCGCGTCCTAGTATTCGGAACAGTCAGCTCCAACTTGCAGTGCTCAGCGCTTCCATTGGATTTGTTAGCTGAGACGCCATTCTGGACATTCTGTGTTTGCTCTTTTGCTTCCTGCGACATTTTTTCGATATTCCGCCGTATTAGCATTTAATTTAATTAATTCAACTAGAGCTGTTGAGCGACAGCGAACAACTGCTCGGTGTGGTATGACTTCTATACATTTATAAAATCAAATTGAGTGAAACAAGTATGAGCTATTCACGTTCGAGAACCGACAATGAAATACCCTTTAAAAACGCCAGGTGTACTAAAAGTTTCTGTAACCAGTGACCGACTGACTAATTTGACTTTATATAATGAAGGAATGCAATAGGAAGATTCTTTCATATGATTTTTTCCACAGCTGGATCAAACTTTCTTACGATAACTCCACAGTAGACCAGCCAGAGTTTCACAAATTTACATATAAACAAACTAGTCCCAATCAATATTATCTTTGTTATGTGAACTCACTGAAGACTGCTTATCCATAACTATATATTATAGACGAGTTATATGGACTCACTGATCAATTAGAGCAAAACACATTTCATGACTTAACTAAGATGCTCTACATGAGAGAGTAAGCCAATTTATATATATTAATGATCATAAAACGGCATATTTCATGCCGATAGAGCACGAATTTTATGAGAGTTCAGTTGGCGACTGCTGATAAGCCCCGTTTGGTAAGCATTAATGAACTGTGATACGAATTTTCACAATTGTTTTGGTTATTTTGGCAACATCATTTCAGTTGCTGTCGCATTTACATATAGCAACATATCATACCAATTTTTATTCCAGTGCAAGTATGTCATAGTAATGCAGTAAATGGATTATCATCAATATCATCGATAAGGATTGAGTCGAAAATTGTGCTTTGTATGGAGTTGACATTAAAAGGAAACTTAGCATTAATTACTTGAATAATCAGAGTAAGTTCTGTCTAACGATTTATGTATGTGTTAGCGTAGCTCTAAAGGGGATGAGTATATATACATATATGTACATATACATATATATATACATATGTCGAATTCTTTTACAATATACGTTTATTAAATGAATTCTTCCAAATTAATGTATTCTACAGATTGAATTAATTCTACCCAAATAATTAATTCTTCCGATAAATTCTGAATTCCGATATTCGACTCGGCAACCACACCCCCAACTATAAATAGCCTCAGTAACCTAGCAAATGACTGACTATCAAAAAACTTGCGCAGGAGATTGCTAACATCATAAGGGAAGATAAGAAAAGTACAAAATAAAACATATTTTAAGAGTCCCAATTACTTTATTTTTGGGAACCAGCGAAAACAACAGGGCTTATCTTATCATCACATGAGCACAACAAAGTACTAAACAAAGATGCAAATAAAATGGTCAATAAAAGAGAAACCAAACAAACAGAAAACAGACTGTGATCCCCACAGAACGGTGCAGAGTTCATCTGTGTATATATAGTATAATGTGTTTACGTCCGATCTATAGCTAGGCGTTGAAGCTGAGCCAGTTAGCCGGATTGGTGACAGTCATTTGCTCCACCTGCTCGAGCGTTACGCCGCGCTGGAACATGCGAGGCAGAATATTCATGTGTATGTGATGATATCCGTGTCCTCCATACGAAGTCTAGAATAAAGGAAAGTACATTACAATTAACGCAATCCACCTGTGACAGAGAGAGAGAAAGAGAGAGGGAAAGAGATCTCACCAGTCGATGCTTTGTGTGGATGTCGTGCGACATGAGCAGCCTGTCCACGAGCCCCTCGTTGATCAGCTTCATGATGTTCTCAATGCGCTGTCCGTCGGATATCATGTCCACGGTGGAGTTAAGCTGGTAGTAGGACGACTCTGTGCCGAAGAGATCGTACTGCAGGTAACAGCCCAGCTTGGCGAACTCCAGCAGCTCATCCATGTCAAAGATTGTGCCTGCAAATGCAAAAGATTCATCAATACTGCAATGAGGAGATTCGTTTGTTGCTTACGATCCAAATGCGACATGACGCATTTGTTGGCCCGCCCTCCGGCCTCGAGGTAGAGCCGCATGATTTCGAAGGGTGCCTTGGAGACACGGTGCGGGTGCAGTGAGACGCCACAGCCGAGCACCTCCTGGATTTCGCCGGCGGCCAGCAGGGCGTGTCGCTCGAACTCTGCAAAATTAAGGGAGGATCATATGGCGTATGGCTTGAGTGACATTTGGCTCACCCTGGACGGGATACACGCTAGCCACCTCGCCAATGAAACCACATTTCACAATGCGACCGTTCACATCGATGCCAGTTAATATGTCCTTGGAGTACATATCCGTCATCTGCTCGACTGTCAGATTCCTGTGCGAGGCGTCCTGCGTGGCGTGTATATAATGTCCTGTGCCAGCAATGAAGTGCACGCCCGTCGTCTTGGCCAGGTCCACAATGAACTCCAGATTGGGTTTCAGTCCATAGGTGCTGTTCTCCACAATGGCGCCGCCGCCATGATTCTTATAGAGCAGCACATCCTTCCTGACCGCCTCCAGCGCCTCTTCATCGTTGAAACGCAAGTTCTCCCGGCTCGAGTACGGATACAAGCGGACGTAGCCCAACGTAGACATCTTGATCTTTTGCCGCAACTCATTCTCAAAGTCCGCCGGCGGCGGCTTATAGAAGTGCTCGAAGTCGAGAGCCACATGCTCATGGGTGAGTGTGCGACCCAGCAGGTTGGGCGTAATGCTACCCAGAACTGCAGCAGCACATCAATGCATTCGATAGATAGACCCGGCCATTGCATAGTATAATGGAAAAATTTACTTAATGCTCATTTATTGATAACGAGTCGCTTTTCAGTGACTGCAACCGCAACAGAGAGACAGAGAGAGACAGAGAGAGACAGAGAGAGCGGCTCTATCTGTAGTGTTTGCTACTCACCCGTTTGTACTCTTGACATTTCTCTGCTCTTGATTGGGGTCACAGACTGCTATCCCTTTCTCTCTCCCTAGCTTTACTCCGTATTGGAATCTCTAGTAATCTCTTGGAGTCTGCACTGTGCGTGGGCTGTGCTCCGACTGCTACTGCTCTCACGTGCGATCGCTTTGAGGGCGCTTGGGTAACTGATTGTTGGTTCGAGGCAGTGCGACGCTGGTAGCTGGCATGGAAAAACAACTCTCGCGCGTCACTGACAGACAACTGCACATATGTATGTATATAAAAATAGTCCAGTCGGTTCACTAACAGCTGTTCGCATATGTGGGACAACTGAGAAAAAGAATTTACCATAATTTATTCTATAATCTAATCTACGGAGCGTTTAGCACAGACATTCACAATTCAAGCACTTACGTACATTTTTCTATGTTTATTATTTCGTGGCTTACCATATAATCGTATCACTTTATATACCTTGTAAAACCTGATTTGCAATGCTTGTTCTGTCCCACTCTGGAAGCAAATAAATAAACAAAACAAAGCGCATAAAAGATACGAGAGTGGGCTTTAAAACACAAATCTGTGTGGCTACAAATAAATTGTAAATCAACTTATCTATCCAAGCCGACGGTGGAAAACACTAAAGACAGTGATCTCTTAGTAAAAGAAAATATCTACGTTTAAATATGGATGCACTGGCGGTATAACCTGGTTCAGTGGAAATTCGTTAATCGATCAATCTAATCTATTAATGTCTTTATTTATTTAGAGTTCTTAAATTTAAAGCTATATAGGTATTTTGTCCATTTTGAATGCCCTATGAGGCATGTACTTACTATATTTGTTAATATATAGAGATTCAACTTGAATTAACTTGATTAATCAGATGACTTAGATAAGTCGATCATAGCCGTAATCATTGTCCACTACAGACACTGAATGAGATAGCAGCTGACTGCTAGCTCTAGATCTAAATTTTATTTAGTCCAGCCATTCGCATCTTCGAATGGGCCACTCAATTTATTTTATGATATTTCAGAGTTGTAGTCGTCATTGATATAGATTATTAAAGAATTCAAAGTTGCCACGAAGTCTTATCAATACTTTAGCTGCTTGCTAATGATAATTCGATCCTAGATTAACCTGATTACTGGACTAAGAATACTTCTTATAAATTAATTTGGAAAGAATAGTTTATATAAGCAATGTTATATTAGTTTGTTCTCATTCGATGCGTGTCTTAAAAATCAGATAAAACCTATAGAAGCACAAATTTGCACAACATTGTACTTACTGTTTGTAATAGGATACGAAATATCCTTTTGAAATCTCAGGATCCACTAGTGGCTGCAAAAACTTTTGCTTAAATATTATTCATGGCATTTTCCCTTGCTGCGTCCAATATCAAATTGATATCAAATTTAAGGGCAGAAGAATCAGAGAAACATTTGATTTTAGGATATTACTTCAATCATGTACCATGTATTCTGATGATGAAATGTGGATGCTGAGAGCTGAAAGTTTAAATACATATCCCAACTAGCTAAATGTATACAATCATATATAAACATATATAATCATATATAAATAGTACAATTCATATTTGTAGACCATTACAGTAATGTCATGTACTTCATTTAATTTTCTTTCTAAAATTCCAAATACAATCTTCAGTTTTATGAATTTCTCAGAATAATTCTCTTTATTAGTTCCATTTTCTTACTTTTTTTGTATTTTGTTTTTTTTTTTTTATATTACTTATATTTAGTTTTTA